ATATTCAGCAAGTGAAAATAAAATAAACAATAAAAGGTGAATCAAATGGACCATTACGGCAAGGCTGGGATGGTCAATTTGGTAAAGTAAATCCGTTGGGCATCTTTCTTTGCCTTTAGACAACAATTCTGATGGCAAAAGAGCCAAACGGGACAGGCAAAAAAAAAAAAAAAAAAAAAAAAAAGATTTCAGGAGATTAATATTTTTGTTTATAACCTTTCAAAATCCAACATGTTTCTCCGTAATGTACTCTAAACTTTGAGTATTAATGAAGCAAAACATCTGACCAGTAATGAATAGACTTTATGACACAAGAAGAAGCAAAACTCAGCACATTGTAGACGGGATGAGAGACGGTCAAAATTAAACAGGAAACACACAGAGTGAGACACATGGACTTTACACTGGGACCAGGGAGAAACAGACATGGCTACACGCTACTATATGCAATAATATAGAGATTTCGGACCTACCATTCATTAGCTTGAATATCAGACAACATGTATGCATCAACATCAACTCCTCTTAGCACGGTGGGTGTTTCTAAAAGTCTTCTTTAATCCATGCAAACGTACACCCACCTGACATACTACAGAACAATAATAAGATTACCTTTCCAGATTGGAGTTGTAAAAGAATTAAATACCTGGAACATATATTTGATGGAACAGACTTTATTCTGTTTGACAGATTAGTTATGCAGTATGGGATTAACAAGATTCGATTTTTAGAATATCAACAAATAAAATCTTTAGTAAAAAAGAAATGTAAGCATAATCACAGTCAAATTGCAAACCCCAGCATGTGTGGAGCAATTCTTTAATTTCAACCCCCCAAAATTACTGTTCAAAATATACAGGACACTCTCCAAAACAGATGAATCAATATCCCTTCCTATTGCAAAATGAGTCAGTTTTCATTCAAAAGATCAATGCTGTATGATAAATTACCCACAGTGGTTAATTGTAGTCAGTGGTTAAAAGTAACTGTGTCAACATTTCATAGCTCTGAGTTCATAAACAGAAAACTAAAAGCCCTGAGTAGTCTGTTTGTTGTGTCTCTAAATCTTCAATAGTGGATTCTGACCATTATTCTCCCTGCAGAAACTCTGAGCAGTGCTCATATAAGAATTTGTATTTTTTGCAATGCTTCTGACAGCATCAAGGTCAGCTGTGTTCTATGGTCACCAGGTCAGCGTATCTCTGTCCATCTGTCCAATTCAGTGAGGTGCTCACAAAGTAGTACTGATGAGTTTGGCTCGAGACAACACTAACCAATGCTCCTAAAATAATCAGTTCCATTTCAGAGGTTTTGTGGTAGGATTTCACAAAACCTTTCTGCATGAACACCCCTGTAAAGGAAGCCCTCCTGGTGTCTACCCTGTTCCTGCTGATAAAAACAAAGGGAATAGCCTCGCAAGCCTGTTGTCCTACAGCTACACCTGTTCAGGTCCTCTCTAGATTAGTGGACTTGGTAAACAGCTCGGTTAAATTTACTGGCTTGTAGATTTATACTCAATCACTTGAATTATATTTATCTAATTAACCTACCTTGAGCTGATCTTTATGACGAGAAAGGTTGGAAAGGGAATGGGAGCACCCAGGCTTGAATATGCGCTTTCTCTGTATTCTGTGTTGAGTGGAAATCAAAAACTTTGCAAAACTTTGCAGAGAAAAAGCTATAGAGAGGAAAAAATACAAGACCAATTTGTATTGTCACAATTTGGGCAGCGGCTGATCCCTCTGGTGCCTCTGCTGGAATTTCCAACAGTTACGTTTTTGGACCCAATCTTCTGGATCTGATTACACCAACTGTATACTGCAGTTTTGTAAGGAGATATTTACTGATTATTGTGATTATTTACACTTGTCAAAGTTTTCTTACATATTTACACATTTACACATGTACTTACACCAAAAAGGACAAGTCTGTCTCCTAATCAATTCTGTGTTGACTGATAATTGACTATATTATGCTTTCACAGAATTGTGCAGCATACAAATAATGAATGCTTCACTAAACCTACCCTTAAACAGCACTGAATTAAATGTCTGAAACATAAACCATTTTCCCAGATGTAGCCAGGTAGAAATGAAAGACAACTGACCTTTGAGCATGAGGATGATCAGTGCACAATCCATGAGTGAAAAGCTTAGAAAGGCACAGTGTATTAATTTATCCGGTGGAAAGTTTTTTAAACTTTATCCTTTATTGTACAGTTATTGAAGAAAAAAAAAAAGAGAAAAAAAATAGAAGAAAAAGAAGAAAAAAAATAAAGAAAAAAAAATAACAATCATGTTTTGGTAGACTGAAGCACACATCAAAGAATGAGAGCACGCTGGAGCTGCAGCTGATCACTGAGTACTATACTTCATTTTGGCAGTCAGCAATTTGAATTCATGTGCTTGATATTCGTTACATAGTGTATTAACTTTCCTAGAACCATTTCATTAGTGTATATCATTAAATGTATGTACAGAGACTTGTATAACTGTAAATCATTTGTTTTCACCACAATCAATTTTAAATGCAGATGGAAGCCTTACTAATTTCCTCTAATTACTGAAATAAAAAACACGGTGTCAAGCATGTTTATTCAGTGCTAACTGGTTCATTATTTCTCCTGTCAGACCAGTATCAAGTGGTGTTTGAATGTGCGTGGGTGTAGACAGCAAGTGATTAATCAATTAATTAAAAACACGTTTTGGATAGACTGCATGTATTTGCATTTGTTGGAGCGCTTGCATTAAGTCATATTAGAGTAAATGGGGGGCCCGAGATACAAAACCAGCTGTTAACTGCTGTGCAGCTGTGTGAAGTTGAGCCGTGTAGCCTGAATCTAAGGTTTCACTGAATTAAAGTCATTTGTATGTTTGTCACTTGCACACCATGATGTCAACAGTTGGGTTTTGAGTCCCACAATTTGAAGTTTTAGCGTTGGTGTTTTGGCTGCTAACATTAGCTAGTTAGCAGATGCATTCATAAATGGTGTGGGTGGCACCAATTAGTCAGTATCTATATAAAGAAGAATTGAATTGAATGTCCAGGTGGGAGGCCAAAACAGGGTTTTACTTTTCTTGTAACACATTGTTACAGAATTTGTTGTTTTGACATTGGAGACCCCAGCATCTGTTCGCTTCCTTGTGTTCATTTTGCCTTTATGAATTTGCTATCTAACTATTGGAAAAAAATGATATGCCCCTGATCCAGGGCCTGTTTAATAGTTTTTGATTTAAGATCTGGGTTTGCTAGTATCTTTTAAGTTAGGCCTTGTGTACTGTAAGGTATTTAATGTTATGGATGAGGTAAATCTGTTTGGTGCAATGCAGATGTTCTTTTGTGTTGAACTATAACATGCCCAGGCCTATGATTCCAGCCCATTTGTGTCTAATATTGAATGAATCTGCACTGCTTTAGTAGCAGGAAAGAAAAATGTGTAACTGGCAGGCTCAGCTGAATCAGGCCACATGGGCTCTTCATGTAACTAATTTATCAGGAAATTTCAAATTGTACTGAGAGCTGGTCAAAATGAGCCAAATTGGAATTTATTACTTACTGTGCAGAGATTTCCAGCCAGTGATCCTGTGAATCCCAGAAAGTAATTGGCGCAAATGAGGTAAATGTGCAGGATGTGTTAGTTGTGGTGGCACGCTCTTGTATGTTGCAGACTTATTTTGTTCATTTAAACTGGTAAATGTCCTTTAAAAAAAAAAGCAGCGTGCAGCTTAAATAATTATTATTTGAAGTTCTGGCTGAACATGTGTTTCTGCCATGCTTAATAATGTTCCAAATCACTCAGTGTTTTAACAGATGTTCCATAATAAATGACAGTGTTGACACAAACTATTTGAATCCCTCCACAGACATGCATGTGTGCTTCTTCCTCTAGCTGTTCCAGAGCTCAGTAACTCAGTGTAGTGGATTTCTTAGCCATGACTTTGTCCTTGGGTTCAGATCAGGACTCTGGACTAGACATGTCGATGTTATCAGCATGTTTTATCAAATCTTTTATCAATGAGATGCACTTTCTTGCATAAAAAGTGGTAGCTGTTTGTTGCTATTCTAATATCAGCTTCCGGTGTGTTACTGAAGGAAGTTCTAATAAACATTAGTGTTCTCTGTTGGGTAGCTAAACTTATAATCACAATTATCCTGGTTAGCAGTTGTAATGTTGAACATTTAGCACAACTATTTGTTAACTTGAAAACCACCAAAGCAAGAGGACCTAGTTAAAATATTTGCACAAAAGTGCATTTTTTCACATTTATTCTGTTTTCATAATTGCTGGAGGCCAAAATTTTCACTCAAGTTTGCCTTTGAGATGTAATTGCCAAGTCCTTGCATGGGCATTTTTATGAGTATTTAAGTCGAACAAATCACATTTGCCACATTAATTTATTACAGTCATATACTAGAGTTCAAGTTTGGTGTATAGGTTCATTACTCCTGGCAAATATGACACAGAAATTTAGGATTGATGAGTAAATATGAGTTGGGAGCTACAGGTGGAGGATGGGCAGCAGTGATGCAGGGCAGTGGCACAGGGAGATGTTATGGCTTATGGACACCTCCAAAGTGGGCGGGTGCTTTGGTACATGAAATAAGGAGTATGAGGCATATGTGTGACACAGTGCTTCTTGAGTTCCATGCCTGCTCCATTAGTGTGATTGTAATGCTTCAATATTCTACAAATGAGGCTCTGGGACACTCACCATCCTTTTTGACCTTCACCGTAACGTGTTGGTAGTTAAATAGCCTTTGTAAGATGCTTCCTGAAAGTGGCAACAGATGGGAGATTATCACCAATAACAAAAAACTCCACAAGTGTAGTTTTGTTTGCAGCTCTTTGTCTGTTCATGTTAGCGTGTGTTTTTGGGCCAGATCTTTCTGTTCTCTCAGGAGAAAAGAAGTCCAGAGGATCCAGAGAAGGTAGTGCTTGAAAGCATGGACAGGCTGCCTCTTCTTCTACTTCTTACTTTCTTCTCCTTCTTCTCTGCCAGGGCATTATAAAGAGAGATGAGCTCGTGTTCAGGGCTGCGAAGCGTCGGGGGATCCCCGTACTCATGATGACATCCGGAGGATATCAGAAGAAAACAGCCCGCATAATCGCAGACTCCATCCTCAACCTGCACCGGCAAGGTCTAATAGAAGGCAACGCGGCGGAAGGAGAGGGATCGACACCGCTGACGACCCACATGACGCCCACCTCTGGATCGGCAGGGTCAACATCCACAGCTGTCTGAGGAGCCTTGATCCTGGAGCTAACACTAACATACCTGACTTTAAAGCACTAAGTAACTTTATATTGTGCTGTGATCGTGTGACAGCTGTTGTAACATTCAACACTTGTCTAAACTCAGATTATGTAACAAGAAGTTGCACATGTACACTTAAATATTCATAAGCTTTGGTAACATTTTCACATTTGTTATGCGCAGGTTGACACATGCTCAAAGGGAATAATCATTCAGAGGGAAAAAGCTGTCTTTAAACAACCGTGTTTTCACAGCTACGACTTTCATATGGCACAAAAGAGCTTTTTAAATGTTTAATCAGTAGGAGAGTTATGGGTTTTATGTGTAATGTGTGATCAGGTCAGCATTTTGGCTAAAGGTAATCTTTAATCTCAGGAAATGCAAAACTAATAATAGCATATGAAGCATATACTATATTAAGGCTTGATGTACTTAAATAATATACTTCCAATGTATGTGTAAATAATGTCTCAAGTTATAAATATAAAACATATATAATATAAAAACAAACATAACCGCACATGAAAGTGTAATTATCTTAATCAGAAGTAATCGTTGGGTGAATTTTAACATTGAAAGAAGATCAAATCTATATATATAAGTGACTAGTGTCTTAATTGAGATGAGTTTTGTGCTTTGAATCCAATCTAATATGTACAGTTAATGTTTAAAGTTATTACAGGTACTAATTGTCCCTGTAATTGAAAAGATTTGAGACACTAAAACTTTTGACTGAGCACTTTAACTGCTTAAGAAACTCACGTCCCCCAACGTTTTAGACTCCTGAAATTCAGTCTGCTTCTTCCAGCATGTCTAGATTTAAGTCTAAAACCCAGAGTGTTCAGTGATTAATGAGAAAGCCTGTACAGCAGGGTTTCCAGTGGCTTTCACTTTTGATTGGTTGTTTATAGTTAGACACAGAGCTTCCCTAATGATGTTTACACATGCAGAAACTTTGTAAAGGGAGCCACAAAAACACTCAGATCAATATGATTAATGCAGCAGCTGAAACAAAATCACCGCTTCCAAACGATACTAAAGACATCGTCTGACACAGACTGAATACAAGCTGTGTACTGGGGTGTAATGATCACTACGACATTTTACTATCAATCTCTGCCTAAAACATGCACGAACTGAGGTCACAGTGCATCACAAGCCTTTCTGTGAAATACTGGCATTGTCCTTCTTTGCTAATATAAGCTGATATCATATGACAGGGCATAGTGGTGGTCCCATGTGAACCTACACTGCAAAAACCCACCTCCTTGATACTAGATAAATACACTTATTTTTGATGAAGATTTGCTTAAAACAAGTGAAATTATCTGCCAGTGGGGTAAGTGTTTTTTTCTTATTAAGATTTCTTGAAATAAGAACAGAATATCTAGATTTAAATAAAGCTAAAAAATAAGTCTTTTACACTTATTCCAGGCAACAAATCAGAACATTGAAACTTAAAATAAGCTTTAACCACTTATTCTAGGGAACAATTAGATAGTTAAATCTTAAAATAAGCCTTACACACTTATTTCAGGCAACCAATCATGGCAATTGAAACCTAAAATAAGCTTTAACCACTTATTCTAAGCAAAATGTTGAAGAAAATGGGCATAAAACACTTATTCTAAGGAAAAAATCAATAATCTAAAAACTAGTACATTAAATCATTTTAAATAAGTCTTCTCATCAGAAATTGATGCTTCTTTCCTGCGTGACAAAAAATAGGAGACAGATGTTTGTTTGTTGTTTGTTTTTTAAGTTAATTCCCAATAAAACTGTTTTATTGCTAACTACATTGCTGCCTGTATTATTGTTGACGTCCTAAACGTCACCTTTAAAGTGTTTGTGCTAATAACATCATGTACAGTCAGACTGGAGAGCAGCACTGAGAGGCTTTGAACAGATCACATAGTTCAATTCAACATATAATGCTTTAAGGATGCACAAGCATCTACTTAGAATCTATTTAATTTATCATCTGTGATATTATTATGTACAAGTCCAATGTATTTTGTTCATCTCCCTTAAATAAACAGGCAGCCTTAAAGTATGAAATATTCATATACAAATACACATATAAATGTGTGAACTATCTCAGTGGCTGATTGTGCCCCACAGGCCTCAGTGTGAGCTTGAAGACATTTATAATGTTTAAGTAGTTTAATGTGCAGGTGCTGACGATAAACACATTTTGAATGAAAGCTGGGGAACTTTGGTAGCACAGAAACAAGTGGCTATTCTTTGTGACCATATGGATCACTCATATTACCATTATTTCAAATACTCCAAAAAGCTGGGGTCCAGGGTATAATTGGCCGTTTTTGGCTACTTTTGATTTGGCCTCTATATTTCACCTTTAAAAACTGTTTATCTTGCCAATCTGTTATTTTCAGGTGAATGAAATACAGTTACACTTTCAAGCACTTTTAAGCACCACATCTGAAATTCAAGCACTTTTCAAACCTTGAAAAGACAACATCAAAATTCAAGGATTTCAAGCACCCGTACGAACCCTGAAATTTAGTGAAATAATCTGCCAGTGCAGTAAGATAATTACACTTGGTAAGAATTCTCAAAATAAGAAAAATAAAGCCAAATGAAAGCAGGCAAAGTATACAACATGTACACAGCAACAAATATTTCAGTCAATCATAGTACACAAAAATTTAAAGACACATTGTAAGTGTAACATTGTTATTTTGTGTTCCTTTTAGAACTGCTAAACCAGTTAGCTACTCAACATATAAAATGTAATAAAAAGAGCATTTGCAATTTTAAACAGAATTTGCAGAACAGATGTGTTTAAAGAAAGAAAGTACTTTGTATTACATTAATAAGAATTTAAAAAAAAAGAATTCAAGTGTAAATTGCAACTTCAAAGCTATCAGGTCCAAACCATCCAACACAGACCTAATCTTGCTCAAACAGCTCTACGTTTCAATAAAAATTTCTACAGCCTGCCATGACTTTTTTGTATGAGCCTGTGGTCCTTGTCCTTTAACACTTCAGTCTGAATGACAGACAGAAGCGTTGCCACACATTTAGGATAGGTGAGATGAAGGGTGTAGTAGTATGCCATAAGATACAGCAAACCTTCTCCAAGGTCATCTGTGGCAAATGTGGTGATGGGAGTGGTTCCAACTGCAATAAGACAACGGGACCCTTCTAAGAGCAGAACAGGGCTGACGCTGGATCTTCTGCTGGCAAAAAGAAAAACAAAGAAAATTTTACAATGTACGGAGAAACTCCAAAGCTATCAGGGTAGTTCAAATACTTAACCACAAGTATGTATTAGACTTAGACTTCACTTTATTGATCCCTTTGGGGTGCACCCTTGGGGTGATATATGAATGATGACAACCATAGATCAGATGCGCTACAGACCATATTAATGTTATTTTTCTTTAGATTGACAAATACTGTATAGAAATTTCCTAATATTCATGCCATTGAAAAATGTAATAAATTCTGCCTCATCACCGTTAGGATTATGTCTTTACACACTTTAGGAAATGACAAAGGTACTGCACCTGTGATAGTTAAATATGTAATTATTTCCATTTTGTTTTTAATTTCTTTATGATTTTCTTTATTATTTTTATTGAAATTTTTGATCTATCAGTATTCGTGCCATTTCAGATTTCTGCACACTTTTCCAAATATAAACTACATTGTTGGAGGACTTGGCATGGATAAAAAGGCCATATACCAAATAAACTGTTAAAGTGAAGGCTTTAGTGGCATTATTTGATAACAAATGTGAAGAAACCCAGACCTGAAGGACATGAATCAGTGCTTCACTGGCATGTCCCATCTTCTTGGGTGGTGCAGCTCATGATGGGAAGAGAGTTGGTAGTGCTCTGAACAGGGCTATGTTTAAACAGAAGAGGAAAGAAAGAACTAAATCAACTTTCAGTTGAATATTCAATATTATAGCCATAATTGTAATGTTTCACTTACAACTGTCGTCACCAGAACTGCTCCTTGGTGGCAAAAGCATGTTTGATCCACCACTTGAATCTGCATCATAATCTTCTCCCTGGTCGCATGGTGAGATATCCATGAGACGCCTTTTCTTTAGTTTCATCCTAAATAAGAAAACAAAAATAGTTATATTACAGGAGTCCTAAACAAAACTTGCCTCTTTGTGAACTTGAGCCCACAACTGTTTCCTCCTCATAAAATTTTCAGGCCCTGGAAGCAGGTCCCTTAAATCGCCCCTACTGAGGGTGTGGAGCAAGACCTCATCTATGTTGGCAGCTGTAAATAAAAGTCAGTAACTTTCAGAAATGTCAAAGTTGTACATCTCTTTAAATGTATACATGTCACTGTTCAAAAAAGGAAACAATTCCAAATGGTCATTTTGTCAAATACATTTAAATGTAATTTAAATATTTTATTGATTTGACAACATAAAACTGATTCTATGTAGGATCACTGTCAGTGTGTGCAACACAAAATTCATTTAGACATTAATTTGCTTAAATATGCATATGCTTGGCCTACCATTTAGAACCGAAAGGTTGCAATCATCCAAACCCTCCATGATTTTCTGGTGTAGCTTTTGTCAGAACTTTTCCCTGAGGACAGAACAACATATGTTTGGGTCAAAAGAAAAACTGAGTCAAGACACCACCTGCCATGGATCCAAAGTCTATGCAATCAGACACCTGGATAGACTAAGTAGAGCCCGTGTTAATTCCATGGTTAAGTCTTATAAAATTGCTCACATAAAATGTATGACAAGGCTATTCCAAACTAGTTTTCAAACTAAAACTAATAGTGCCCAACTGCTTGTCAAATCATTCAACAAATGATCAAAGCTCAGATTAGGCCACTTCATCCATAAGAAAAAAAGTTACCTCAGTTCAGCAAGGTTAAAGTGACCTGATTTATATTAATAGTTTACAACATAAATAATTGGAAGTAAGTTCACATCTCCAACTTACAATAGTTTATATGATTAATCATAATCTGTCGGAAATGAACTTAAAGTAAATCTATAGGTAAAGATGTCTATTCAAAAATGTGCATTTGGTTTATTCCATCCCCCGTGCATTATTTATTCATAGGCACATGTCATCCACCCAGCACACACGTGGTGATGGCAAGCTCAAGTGTAGCCAGCAGCGCGCCGGCGCGCGACTGACAGAGGCGAGGCGCCGGACACGGCGCCACCGGGCCCTCTGACCACCACCAGTAGGCAACGGGTGAAGTGTCTTGCCCAAGGACACAACGACCGAGACTGTCGGAGCCGGGGCTCAAACCGGCAACCTTCCGATTACAAGACAAACGCCCAACTCTTGAGCCACGATCGCCCCGAAATAAATGTAAAATGGTTCACTTTTAGATTTACAGACTAACTAAGAAAAAAAAAGTAATATATACTTGAAACAAGTCTAATCATCTCACACATGAGACTGGAAACTAGCTTGTCATGTTCAAAACAAGATGGACTGGCTAAATTTAAGACAATAAATCTGTTTTATTTTATTGTTTTATTTTTTGTACCTTTTAACATTTCACAAAGTAAACTTGTTTTGTATTATGAACACATGTTTTTGTTGGTTGGTTGGCTGGTTAGAGGCTGGTCACACCAAAAGTCTTAGAAAGACCAAAACCTGAGGTTGATAAAGCCGCACAACCAAATACTAAAAAGTCTCCTGTGGCACAACCACCAAAGGAAACGGTTGTGAAACCAAAGAAACAAAAAAAGCAAAAACAGAAAAGAGTGGCTGAAGAACCAAGAAGACCAATTACTGCCCGGGCTCTTCTTGAAGCTCAAAACAGCATGGGTGATGGAGCAAACCTGAAGAAGAAATGCAAAAAAACACTGAAGCCACTCCTGAAAAAGAAAAGGCTGAATCCCTCCCCATTTCAAATGCAAAGGAGGACATGGAGAGAGAGAGAAATGGGAAGAACCCCAGCAGACCAAACCCTGTGCCTAATGGAGGGACTTGGCAATATCAACCCATTCCCACATTTAGACCCCCGTTTAATCCCTGGCACGAGATTGCTGCTCTCAGACACCAACTGGAAGCCTCCCAATACCATCAGAACAACCTTTACTGGAAAATGGTAGGTGCAAACAAGAGGGCCTCTTATCACTAGTATCAGGTGAACAAGCTTCATAAACAAATTCACGAGAACGAGCGAAATCATGAGGAAATGATTAAAGACCTCTTAGAGCAGCTGGAAGAGGCTTCTAGTAATAAGCCCAATGACATCAGTGAGACAGACACTCTCGCAAATGACAATGAAGCTATTGTCATATTGGATGAGCTGATGGTTACCCTGCAGGACCAAATCAGCCACCCTACCACAGAGCAGTGTGTGGAGTCTGCCACTCCAACCACAGAGGCTTCACACACTGACTCTGTAGGACTGAAGTCCTCTAAGGAGGCTGAATTTGAGCTCAAATGTAGGATTCAGCAAGAGCAGATTGAGATGCTCCAGAAACAGCTCCTAGCAGCTCAAAATCAGCTTGAAGAGCAGGCCGTTAAACATAGGCAGGAGCAGGAGACACTCAACCTGGAAATCAGTGACCTGAAATCCCAGCTCTGCCCCAACAAGGCCCTTCATGATTTGAAGGTAGAGTCTCTTGAGCGAGAGCTGAGAGAGGCCAAAGCTTCCTCCCTTAAAATCCCACAGCAGCAAAAAGAACAAAATTCCACTGCTGCAAATGAAATGCTCAAATGTGAGCCTCTGAAAGAAAACGAGACTGGAGAACAGGAGAAGATGGAAAAAGAGGACTCACGGCCATCCACTGCAAGGTCTCTGCAGGAGCCTCAGAAAGAAAAAGACACCACAGAACAACAGAAGATAGAAAAAGAAGAGTCAGCTGCATTCTCTGTACAGGAATCTTTGCAAAGTCTACAAGACAAACAGAAAATGCTCAATGTCAAGGTGGCTGAACTCGAGGCTGAAGTTAAGAGCCTGCCAGAGACTCCGCCAAGTAAGAAGAAGAACAAGAAGAAGCGGAACTGTGCGCGTCCCCAATTTCACCTAATTGGTCTCAACATCACGTCCTAGAAATCATATTTATATACAACTAAATTGTCAGTGAACATTTGAACCCCTCTCGGTCAAGACAGAAGGCCACCCCTTCCTGAGCCCGGTTCTGTCAGAGGTTTCTCCCCATTAAGAGGGAGTTTTTCCTCTCCACTGTCGCCAAGTGCTTGCTCATAGGGGATTTGGGGGCTTTTTTTTAACACCAACCACTGATAAGTTCACTGACATCAAATTTAAGACTCAGCAAATATGGAAAAGGATCATTTGTCATCAAGTGAGGAAGCATCCATTTAAAACATGTTTGCTGAGGCATATTTAGTTGTATATAAATATGATTTCTGTCACACTAAGGCCAATCACAGACTAATTGGGACAATTGGTAAAAAAATAAACAAATTAGAAAAATTGAAAAAAAGTAGTTGTGTCATTGTTTCATGTAGATTTCAAATAACATGCCATTTTATGTCAGCATATTTCTGTTACATTTGTAGTGCTCGTGGTCTTATATTCTTATGATCCTGTTTATTTGATGAGTATATCCTTCTGCCTTACTTCACATATTTACTGCTGCTTGGCTAGCTTTAGTCATGCTAGCATCAGCACGGGTAGAAACATCAGAGACATCACATGTAGCTTGTGTTTATGTTCAGAGTGACATCTTGTTTAAAAGCAGGCAGCAAAGCACTGAGCAGCATATCAGTCAGCACAGAAAACAAGTGCCATAAATGTCATCAATTAGGCTGGAATAATTTGTTTCTAGTGGCTTCTATTGTAAGTGCTTTGCATTTCAGCATGACATCCTGTATGTGTCCTACACTGAGGACACTTGAAGCTGGTCATTTTCTTAGAATGGAGCTAAAGATAAAACCACAACAAAGCCAAACTTTCATAAGAAATCTTTATTCTGCAGTAAGGGACATTAAAAACCTAATAATGTTATCATTAAAAATATTAAAATGTGAAGTAATCATAATTTTTGCACAAAATCAAAATAATCTGTTTATGCAATACCAGGAGCTGTAAACTTTTCCACTCTGTTATGCTCAGTCGCTGCATCTTCATGTAAGACACGTTTGTTTGTGTGATCTTTAAAGCTGTTCTTCTAAAAAGTTATGCAATCTAGGATTTTGAATGCTGATTGCTTCAAGCTGCAGCAAAATGTATGTTTGATACATTCAGTCATGAGTATTTTATACTGTTATTATTCCTGTTAAGAGTATCTGGAATATGCACTTCTTACAGTGGCCATGTTACACTGTGAGACATGAGTCTCCTGGAATTAGACCTCAGTACTGTTAAAGTTGAGTTACTGACCCATTGCTGTGTCAATAAAAGTGCAAAAAATAAGAGTGCTTCTGGTGTCTTGCTTTAAGATAAAGTCCCATGTTTATTGTAGCTTTTTGAACAGATGGTGTCTTATTCTCAGCAATTTTTCTAATTATTGTTCTCAGAGTTGAGATTTAATTCTTATTCTTAACTCAATCAAGAAAGAAACAATTCAGTCTCTTTCCTTCCATCCATCCATCCATTCGCTTCCGCTTATCCTTTTCAGGGTCGCGGGGGGCGCTGGAGCCTATCCCAGCTGTCATAGGGCGAGAGGCGGGGCACACCCTGGACAGGTCGCCAGTCTGTCGCAGGGCTCTCTTTCCTTGTAATAAGTCAAATTTTCTTCATTTAAGCATAAATTTTAGACAGTTTTGTCTAGTTAAAAGGCATCGATTAATTTCTAGTTTTAACAATTCTAGTCAAGCAACTTTTGCTCAGCCCACTGGCAGATTTTTTTTCTTCTCAAAACAAGAAACTTTTGTCAGATTTAAGAATATGTATACATATTCTTAAATCTGATGTACACTGATGTATACATCAGTGTTGGCTGTGGAATCATTTAACATTCATTTTATTTTGGGTGTCTCATGTTTTTGGCATTGCAATGATGTATTTGTTCATGTACATATAGGAGAATTTAAAGTTGCTATTTTTTATATGTACAGTTTTGTGTGTGTCCATCTACCCCAAATCAAAAGACAAACATCAATGGAAAACATTTTGTGAGCACTTTATAATTGACCTTGCAGCTATAATGGCCACATTGCAAATACTGGTTACCGCTGGTGTCGGTATAGCTAAAGCTAGTTAACCAGCTACATGTATTCAAAACATCAACAGACACGTGGCCATAAATGCTGTGTGAACGTGAAATCCACCCAAGCATCCCACTATGGTAAACAACTTTTTTCACTTAGCATTACAAAAATGGCTTTCAACTTTTTACATCCACCAGGTCACTGGCAACCTATCTGAGGCTGCTTTAGTTTGGTAAATGTCCACCAAGCAGGCAGAAAGGTGAAAATGTGCTGCTCTCCCCGAAACATATTAGGATTACAGGACTGAGCCAAAGCTTGGGCACTGCAGCGACAGCTTTGACTCATCCACCCACATCAAATTATGAACTCACTCTGAACCCTCCTCTCTCATTCATACTAAATGAACACTCCTGGTTGCAACTGTCACAACCACATTAGGTACAATGCATGCTTTAAGTGTTAAATTCAGAGTAATTTGATTGATTGAATAAGTA